CTTCCTCCAATGCAAGGTTGCTAGGGTCTATAAGGAGGTTGCTGAATTCCGCAAGAAATTCTACCGCATGGAAAGTCTGCTGAGCAATGGCGGCGTCAACCCCTCCGACTTCATCGATCTCTACCCCCTATTCGTCATCGACGTGAGTCATCAGTCCGAGCGTCTGAAAGAGTCGACCGTGGATATCCAGATCCGAGCCGACTTCAAGCGCAACGTCCCTGCCAATACCCAAGCCTTCGCCCTAGTCATCTCCGATCGAATCCTCCAGTTCGAATCTGATGGCCAGAAGATGAACGTCGTCTTCTGAGGAGGATTAAATAAATGGACGCTTCACTTTTGCGGAAAATCGCCACCAATACCGAACCCAAGCAGGGGTTCTCCTTCATCGCCTCTGGGGATGATAGCCAGATTTTGACCCGCTTCAACCCACCCCTTCAACTGCGTGAGGAGAAATCTTACGAGATGGCCCTCGTGAATCTGGAGACGTACTACTCCATCCCCAATATAAATGCCGGAAATAATTCCTTCCGCTACTCCCCAGACGATGGCGCCAACTGGTTTCCCGTCACACTAAGCACTGGCTCCTACGGCATCGAAAATATTAATGATGAGATCCATCAGCAGCTGCGACTCAATAATCATAAGCCCAAGATCATCCTCGATGCCAATCGTGCGACCCTGAGAGCGACGCTTACCCTCGCCACGCACTATCAGGTGGATTTCAACGTCCCAAATAGCATCAGTAGCGTGCTGGGCTTCGAGCGTCAGATCTATACTTTCGACCAGACCACGAACGGCTACTCAGAAGGGGAGAATATCGTCAATATCATCAGCATCAATAGCATCTTGGTGAATAGTGATATCATCAGTGGAAGCTAAGTGGATGGAACCCAGCAGTCCACCATCTATAGCTTCTTCCCCGCCGTGGACCCAGGCATGAAGATCCTTCAGACCCCCAGAAATCTAGTATATTTGCCCGTGACCCTGCGAACCATCAATCGTATGGAGACTTATCTGACCGATCAGCACGGTACCCCCATCGATCTCAGAGGCGAGCATCTCACCATCCGCTTTCATCTTCGCGAAGTATAAATAAAGAATGTATCACGAGTACGGTTTGAGCTTGACGAAAAATCAAGCAGATAAGCTCCAACGGGCGGCAAAGAAAAGCTGTCCAGTCACCATTCGCTTGTCCCACGCGAATTTGAGGGGTGATCATAAGATGTTGCTCACTGCCCGGCAGGTGCAAAAGATCACCAAGCTCCTGCAGCAAGGCACCGGTGGTATGAATCTGGAGATGAGCGCCACCCAATTGAAGGAGAATATGCAGAAGGTAGGGGGCTTCCTACCCATGCTGGCCGGGCTGGCTATGAGAGCTCTTCCCATGTTGGCAAAGACCGTTCTGCCGGCCCTGGGAGTGGGTGCTTTGAGTGGTCTGGGTAGCACTGCCATTTCCAAAGCCATCGGCTCTGGGTTATACTTGAAGCGTGGTGGGTGCGTCTGCTCCGTGAAACCTAGCGGAAGCAGTCTCTCCCTCAAACCTTCCACCGCCCACATTGTCCAGGGCGATGGGCTCTACTTGAAGAGCGGTCAGAAATTTTACGATTGATCCGGTCTGATCTTGGGAGCCAACAGTCCATTCAAGAATATCCCTCTCCTAGGTATGTTCCTATAAATAAATGACCGATCAAGTGGATGCTAGTTGTGTGGAATCCTTGGAAGAAGAGCTCACAGCAGAAATCCTGAAATATGAGCATACCTTGAAGATCTACAACCGTGTTGATAAGGTCATCTCCATTGCCCTGAGTGGGTGCTCCGTCGGCAGTCTCCTGCTGACTAGTGATACCATAGGGTCTGCCCTGACTGGTGTGGGTGCTGTGGCATCCATCTCCATCGGATCCCTAGCCTGCCTCTGTACCACAGGTACCTTGGTCCTGTCCTTGATCTCGCGCCGAGTCGTCAAAAAGAAAAAGAAGCATCGAGATACTGTGCGATTAGCCAAAACCTACAAATCCCTGCTGGCGGGTGAAGACGGTGCTCCTGCGATCTGCCTGAAGAACTACTACGACGAGAAGGATCATCTACGTCAGACTTCTACCCCATTTAGTGAAGAACTGAATGCGCATGCGCCGTAGGGAGGATTCTTCCAATCGCGCATCGCTCGGCTACGCCTCGCTCCCCGCTCATTCCCGAACCCTCCAGATCAAAGTGCTAAGTGACCAAAAAAAAAATTTCCCAATCCTCTTTGGATTGAGAAATTTTACGTCCCCAAGATTTTTTTTTTTTTTTTTTTTTCACTTCCTCACCAGATCGTATGAGAGGTACTGCTGATTAGATTTCTTGCTCAGCTTGAATCCGGTGCTCCGAACGAAAGCTCCTTGCAAAGGACCCTTCTCTTTGTTAAGCGTGGGGCAAGCCCATACTCTGGCGGTTTCTCCTTGTCTGTCTTTCAGAGTGAGAATCCTGCTTTTGCCATACTTACCTTCCACTTCAATCGCCTCCAAGATCTTATAGATCATCCCAATAGGTAAATCCTTCCATTTGATGGCTTCCTGATTCTGGTCCTGCACCTTTTCCTGGAAGGCATCTTCGCCGATGAAGTCGTCATCTCCATCTTTGGGAATGTCGACGAATCCATTGTGTACGAAAGTCATATTCTTGTATTTACCCTATGCTCAATAGGGATGCCGTCCGTTTGCATTTGGCCGTCGGGGCTGGGGGTCCTATGCAGGATTTCCCCTTGAAAATGCGATTGCGGCAGAATCGGCCTTTTCATACTACTTCGGTCTAAAAATAGAATATATTTTTTCCAAAATGGTCACGTTGTTTTACCTCGTAGTAGTAATGGGATAACCACATCAAAGAATGACATGACCACATCAAATACTGAAACAAACACATCATTTAATGTAAAATCGTCAAATTTTGAAACATCATTACGTAATGTTAAAGCCTTATAAAGAATTGGCAAATCATCATTACGAAATAACAAAACCACATCATGTAATGAAACAACTACATTACGTCAAGTCACATACACATCAAATAATGTTAAAACCACATTGCCTAATGACACAACCACATTAAATAATAGTGAAACCACATAGAGTAATGACAAAACCATATTAAGTAATGACAAAATTATATCAAGTCAATACGAAACCATATCATGTAATATCGGAATATTATTAAGTAATGACTTTTCCATATTGAGTTATATCAAAACATCATTACGTAATGTCAAAATCATATTATGTAAAGACAAACTATCATCAAGTAATAACAGAACAACATAACGTAATATCAGAGTTCAACATAAGACAGCTGTGGCGTTCCATAAAAATATGGTGTTAGCCCTGATTAACCACAGGTTATCTGATGGTGAACATTTATCGTAAAGTTGTCACATATTTAGACGTATGTTTATATATATATATACAAGTCTAAATTGAAAACAACGTCCAAACCTATGATTGCGTTGGATAAAAACCGCAATTTTTATACGTGTGCATGCAAAACAAATTTCTTGGTAGAGGGGTCTAAACACAGCACAAACAACATTTTCCAAAAGACAAAAAAAGTGAAAAAGTATATTTTAACAAACCGCATTTGACTAGCAGGTTGAACAACGAATGTTCTTAAACCCTGCTGACTGCCATTGGCGATTGCCAAATAAACGGATCACCAAATGTAACAAAATAGATATTAACTATTAATTTAATACCAAACGGAAAACAATAAACTTGCGAAAAAGATGGTATACCGCAAACAAAAGGTGCAAAAATTAGTACACCATATCCGGATTTCGACAATTAATGTCTCTTCAGAGATGTTAGGATTCGAAACGGTATTTGGAAGGCCATATAATTTTCCTCAATTTAGGATAGACTCTTAAATTTTGAAGAGTCGTAATAGAATGAACGGATTCTATTACCCCGACGGCAAATATAAGTCAAGCCCAAACGAAAAAATATAAACAAGTCTAAATTGAAAACAACGTCCAAACCTATGATTGCGTTGGATAAAAACCACAATTTTTATACGTGTGCATGCAAAACTAATTTCTTGGTAGAGGGGTCTAAATACAGCACAAACAACATTTTCCAAAAGACCAAAAAGTGAAAAAGTATATTTTAACAAACCGCATTTGACTAGCAGGTCGAACAACGGATGTTCTTAAACCCTGATGACTTCGATTTGCGATTGCCAAATAAACGGATCACCAGATGTAACAAAATAGATCTTAACTATTAATATATATATATATATATATATATATATATATATATATATATATATATTACATATAGTGTAGCATTCTCCGGTTTTCATTGGATATTACGATATCGTGTTTCAAATAATATTTCATATATCTGAAGCCTTGTTTCTATTTTTAAGTATATTGACGCTATGTTTCTAATTATACGTATATTGACGGTCAATATTAAAAATCTGTGACGTCACACAAAACAATCATGGCAGAGGCGCCGCAGAGTACGAAAAGAAAATTTGCAAGTAGACTGAAATGAGTTCCATTTGAATTCTTATTTGTTCTAAATAGAAACAAAATGTTGTGTTTTTGTTTACAATTAAAAAGGTTAATCTTATTTATTAATATTTTCAATAGTATGTTAAATTTAAAAAATACCCAGAATAACACTGATTAAATTCCAATATTCTAATACATTATTTACATATGTAATATATAAATTAAGGACTTTCACTCAGTCAGTACGTTATATATGGACCTGTTAAGATTATATTGACACTCGGACTTCGTCCTCGGTCAATATAATCTGAACAAGTTCATATGTAACGTATCGACCTCGTCAAAAGTCCATAATTGATAAATACTGGCTGCTGAGAATGTAGTTTTTCGTTTTCTTTGCAAGGTAATGAACGGTATACATACACATCTTCCGTGTAGACAATATTATATTTTGATCAATGATTAAAAATTGTCATGTTCATAACTTTTTATCACAAGAGGTTAAACTTACATTGTATGTAGTCATACTAGATAACATAGCTAGGTTGTACACAGCAATCTGAAGTGTATAAACTTCATCTTCAATTTCATCAATTGGAAATCTAAGCCAACAGTTATTAATATCCTGGACTATATCAATCAAAAAACATTCACCCGTTGGAATACAGTAACATTCTTTAAGGAGTTGATCACAGAGCTGCTGTGGCTAAAACGTATAGGAAATATGTTTCGAAAATTTAACACAATTTCGTTTCCAATTTATTTAAAACAAATATTTAAAAGGAATTTGCGAGTTTATTATGAATATTTTTAAAACACGTATTTAAAATGAATTTGAGAGTGAACTCAGACAGGTAAACTTCAAATTGTTTTGATATAAATTAGGCCGTTATTTTTCTCGATTAAATTATTTCATATTTCGGCATTGTATAGCCGACTAGTCGGTATGGGTTTTTCTCATTGTTGAAGGACGTGCGGTTGCCTATAATTGCTTATATCCGCTTCATTTGAACTTCGGTGGATAGTTGTCTCATTGGCAATATCCTTATTTATATATGGTATTCTACATGTCCTAGTTTTAAATGTAAGTTGACTACAAATCGTTAGCAATGTAAATTTAATTTGAGAGAATGCTTTAGTGTTTGCATTAATATTTAGAAACATGTTACTGATTTAACTAAAGGTATTTCCTTTTTCTTCAAAAATACCTTAATTTTTTAAGGTTGTTTATTTGTTATATCATAACAATAGTATTCACTCAAATAAAACAAATGCTACTTATGTTAAATTCACCTGTGACACGATCTGGAAGTCTTTTTGGTTCTTTACCTCCCCTGTTCTATTAACCACAAACTTGATGGACACTTTACTGATTCCACTGTGTTCATCTTTGGTAGCGACAGTTACTCTTGTGTGCAAAATAAAATATTTAGTAATTCATTTATTTGCTCAGCTTGGTGATATCTTATTAAGCCTTATGTAAATTGTGATTCTATTCAGTGATTGGTGCAATCAGATCATTGAGTTTGAACTGTATTTGTTTTAAATCAATAAATGTCTTTAAAATGACGAGGCGTTTATTAATCTAATTCATTTATGTAGTCTATGTTTTGTTTGATCGGTTAAGGGAGAGATTATTTAATGGAAAGTTCAAATTCCGGGATACAATGCTTATTTTTTTTTTAAGGTAGATTCATACAGTAAAGGGAAAACAATAAAATTGGCCCTTATAATTTCTAAGCATCAACTTTTCTGTGCTTTCTGACAAATTGGACTCACAGTCACATACGAGCATATGTATGTCATCATTTTCTCCCTTTAAATTGATTTCGAAAGTCGTAGAATAAAATTTAATGTTTTATGTATCCATGGCAACAATCTGTATTTATTCGCTATATAATATTCAATGGGTCCAGAATTTAAAATTCATCTGTGCATTACTGCTTACGCAATTTTACTAAACAATGAGAAGAAAAACACCTGATTTTTAGTTAATTGCTTTAAAGATAAATGTCAATTGTTTCAGAAAAAAGTATTTTTTAGTAGCTGCTTACGTGTATTCGGATGTATGGGACACGAACATTATGTTTATGCTAGAATGAAAGAGAAAGAGTGTCAATTTTATTTGGTTTCCAATAGCCGTATATTGCTACCTTATGGCATTTGAGAAAGCACATTTTACCTAAATCAAGACAAATCATGCCACAATTCTTTCAATTTTAAGATTCTCAATCAATTTCTGAGGGGCAAAATCCTTTATGATGGTAATACCAAAATTAATTTTATTGTTTATTAATTGTCCTTATTACCATGTGTACACATTAAGACAAAAAGACTCGGTTCGATCTTAAATTTATACTCTATTGGCTAACACTTGTTACCGAAGGATTGCGGTTAATTGGAAAGCCTCAGTATATGCAATGCTTTGTATTTTTTAGTGCAAATAAATCAAAATAATAATTTAAGTAGGGCATAAAGTTACAATTTGGTATAAAATAAATCTAAAATAGTCACCACTGTTAGAAATTGACTCCCTATTTAACAAATTCTTAACCAATACTTTGGTATGCTTCACACATAAAATTGACATTTTGGTGCTAAAAATAGCTTTATATTGTACAATTTTCCAACTGCAGATGTAACCTTTTTACCACTTCGACTTGGAATGCTCGATCACTTTTTGTAGCATTTCAATGTCAACTGCTAACCTTCATAAAGAGGGACGAAAGATACCAGAGGGACAGTCAAACTGAGAGATCGAAAACAAACTGACAACGCCATGGCCAAAAATAAAAAGACAAACAACAAATAATAGTACAGATGACACAACATAGGAAACTAAAGACTAAGCAACACGAACCCCACCAAAAACTGGGGGTATTACCAATATTTTTTACTTAACACCGAATGTAAACTTACCTGAGCTACTCGACAGATGCCACGTATGGAGCAGGATCTGCTTATCCTTCCTGGGATCACCCCGGTTTTAGGCGTGGTTCGTGTTGCTTAATCTATAGTTTTCTATGTTGTGTTTTGTAGAGGTTTTTTTTTTCTTGTCATGTCATTTTTCTTTCTTGTTTTCCTGCCATGGCTTTGCCACTTTTTCTTCGACTTATTAGTTTGAATAAACCTTTTGATATCTTTCTCCTTTCGTTTATAAATGGATAAATTTTCAAAATATGAAACCAGATTAATCGTAAAAGCAAGGATAACATTGAAATTTTATTGAAATTGGAAATCTGTAATTATAATTGTGTAATAAATTTCTTTTAGCCAAAGAATAATTCAGCATTCCAAATAGTTCATATGAACATTAAGATAGTTTTATGTATGTTTTATGGGCTATTTTGATTGTTAAACAGTCTGTATTTTCAACTCGAGACCGGATATACGTCCGATAGTTATTTTAATGTTCTCAACCATTTGTTTTCCCCACGAACTTTTCGATGCAATGTTGCAAAACAAATGTTCAATCACATGATCAATTAAGAAGATACGAATCAAGGTAAAAAACGAAAACTGAGAGAATCGCATGAACTCCAAAAAATAAAAAAGAGACACAGCGTTTCCTGCTATGTATTTTTCACACTCAGTCAATCTGTCTCATTGGAAATATGACAAAATTGTAAAAAAAATGGATCGTCTTTGTTACAAGTCATGGTATTAAAAACAATTTGTGGGCTTTATTCCTTGTCTTTGTATGTGTCTATTGTATAATAATTGCTACCTGTCATAATTTGACAATGATATGTTATGATCCTTTACTCCGAGGCATTCAAAGCTTTACATTTCTAGGTCAGAAGGGAAGCGTTAGTAATAAAAAGAGAAGTCACCGTGGTGTTTCTGGTGATGCTTGCTGTTGTTGTTGCAAAATTGGTATGGTTTAGCTGGTGAAATCCTCTTCATTGCTTTGTTTCTCTTTTTTTCTTATTTCGTATTCTCAAGACAGACATTCATATAGATAGGAAGATTTGGTATGAGTTGTGCAATGAAACAACTCTCCATCCAAGTCACAATGTGTAAAAAGTAAACAATTATAGGTCTTAGTACGGCCTTCAACACGGAGCCTTGGCTCACACCGGACAACAAGCTATAAAGGGCCCCAAAATGACTAGTGTAAAACAATTCAAACAGGAAAACTAACAGTCAAATCTATATAAAAAACGAGAAACGAGAAACACTTATGAACCACATCAACAAACGACAACCACTGAACAACAGGCTCCTGACATAGGACAGGTGCGTACAAATAAAGTGGGTTTAAAAGTTTTAACAGGCGCCAACCTTCCGCCTAACCTGACACAGTAGTGTAACATAACAACAACAAAAGATACACTATAAAATATCAATTGAAACGGCTTAACTCAATCAAAAAGACATATGAACAAAAACAGGTAAATATACACTAAACGAATTCGAATAAGTTTGATCTATGACACAATATAAATACAATATTTATAAAAAAAAAGTTATAGAACAATGACAAAAAGATAACTCTAACCTGGGACAAAATGGCGTTAAATAAAATAACGTACACAGGTAAATTTAGAATAATAATTTTGTTGTTTCTCGTCATACTAAATACTTATCAAAGGTGGTACATATCTAAAATAGTGAGACGAGATATAACACCAAATAAGTAAATATTGAATAACAAAAATGCATTACAAATTGTGTCAACAGGTCAAATTAACACGAAAGTAAATTTGAGAGTACTCGCAGTTACTGAAAGCTAGTTAAAAGCCAAAAACAATTAATAATACAAAAAATAATGCATCAGAGACTAAAATCATTTAAAACACATCCCAGGGATTTAGTGTTTTAGCGCCATGGACAGTCAACGACGAAATGACTTGTACAATGCAAAAATAAAAGTATCGACAGGCAGTAGGGTAGTTAGGATTTAATAGGAGTTAATACAATATATATCATGTTATATATAGATAAAGCAATCTATAAATTGAAAACAAACGTGGATGTGTATTTATGCATCCCAAAAACCATTCGAAAAGAATACAAATATAGTTTTTAATTTGTTGATGACAAAATCGATCTTAGTACCAATGTAAACAATATTCAAGAGAAAACCTTTACTAATAAGTTTATTTTAAGGTTCGATGAGTTGACACGGATCACATAGGAATACGTTTTTTACAGGTACAGCCGAATTTACTAATCAAATCTTTGTATCTATGAAAGAATTTAGTAAATATTTTAAGTAATTTATGGTAACGAAATCCCCGACTTATTAATTTACCAGTGATGCATTGATTACGTTCGTTAAAATCCATGACATCACTACACACACGGACATAACGAACGAGTTTGGATATATAAACACCGTATGATGGAGGCAAAGGAACATCGCCGTCTAAAAAAGGAAAATTAACAATAGGGAATGAAAAATTGTCTCTTTTGTCGTAAATTTTAGTATGGAGTTTCCCTTTAGAAATTGAAATGTCTAAATCTATAAAAGGACAACTACTGCCATTTATGTTACATTTATTTAAAATAAGTTCTTTTGGGTACATTTTGGTAGTATATTTAGAGAATTCTAGATTATTTAACGAAAACATATCATCAAGATAACAGTAGGTATTGTTGAATGTGTCAACCTACTGTAACAATGATGTGTCTTTACTGAGTTTGCCCATAAACTGCGATTCATAGTAATACAGGAATAAATCTGCTATTAAAGGGGCGCAATCAGTGCCCATAGAAATACCTACTACCTGTCGATACACTTTATCGCCGAAACGTACGTATATGTTGTCTAGGAGAAAATTTAAAGCTTCAATCATATCTTCACATTTCCAGTAAGTGTATCTAGCAGACTTTTCTTTTTCGTTACAGCAAATGGCTTTAAATGAGTTACAGCAAATAAATGTTTTCAATTCTGACCGACTTTCTATTTTGGCATCGTAGATCAAAAGCCTCGATAAAAAAGAGCAACATTTTCAAACTCAAAAGTAGGAGATGACATACATTGACCATGTACTATCACTAGATGCACATACTTAACACTTCATTAATTCATATTTGAAATTCTTAATGTTCACATCAGTTCTACATGTAGGGAAAATATTATATTTTTTTTAGATGTTTGATCACAATATCGCATTTGTTAAAGACCAATAACATAACAATAAACATGCATACAATGTGAATGAACTTTATAAAAAAATCAGCATTACTGAAAAAGCATGTTTTGCCCTTAAAGTATATTCAAAAGGCATGAATATTTAAATGCATAAGAAGCATAGCGTTAGTAATAACGTGCTTTTATATATAAAAAAGTACCTGCTTGAAAATGGAAATTGTTCATCGTCGACATTTTTTTTAATCATAGGGTCGTACAAAATAGGTTGACTGTGATCAAAATGTACAACTGTTGAATCGACCTTTTCATTCCCCATTACATCATATGCACGAATCCAAACTTGGTGGGAATCCCCATCTCGAATATTCACGCCACTCAGAACAATACTTTGGTTTTCTTTCAGTGGAACGATGTCTTCCCAACCATTTATTGGTGCAACCGTACTGGGTGTACCGTGACTTATTTCAAATTGAACAATAGAATTGATATTTGGTATTTCGTCTTTAGTTCTACTACCTTCATTGTCATCAAATTGAGATTCTATTTCTTTATAGTTAACTCTTTTGACGTTATCACTAAGTCTTGGAGTATAGTCTTGGACTCTTGCTAAGAAATGACCATTTTCATGTACTTCATTGATAAAATGGTTTTCCCATTGTACAATCAAAGTTGTCGTCTGAAGATTGTTCGGGGTCGTCTGCCAGCTGTAGTTAGACTGATTTGACGCCGATGAAACGAACAACCGATGATTTGATTTGGTGGATATTTCTGATGTTTTGTCGAATATTGCTATTCTTCGGACATATCTAGAATTATTTGCTCTGTCAGCAACTTCAAGTATTGTTGAATAGACCCCTGGTCCCTTGGGTTCATATTCTGGGAATGTATTGTTGCTTGCTAGTACCTCGGTTATAAACTCTGGTACTGGATTATAATTTGGCAGAATATCTGGTTCTCTTAAAACTGAATAATCAAAACTATATTCCATCTTCCATACTTCAAATGCGTACTGTTTCACTCCAGACAAATCTCTATCGGACCATCCAGACCATTTCGGCCTAATTGATCCCTACCAAAAAAAAATGGAGTAAAATATTCAAAAAGAGTTGATCTTGTGGAAATATAGCACCACATTAAGGGGTTCTGCCATCAGTCGTTTTTGTAATATCTGCAATTTATACTTTAAATTATAAAGTGGGGACGTAATTCCCCCCCAAAACAGTATGAATACTGTCGAGCAGATCAAAGCGAACATTTATTTGGACAATTCATGCTAACAATTGATATATTTTCCAATATTTTCCAATCAAAGGGGAATTGAAAAGAATACGCTAATGATTTCGAAGTTTGGGTATGGCGATCCAATCCCCAATGCACCCCCCCCCCCCCCCGCCTACAGCCCCTCGTGATAAAGGGCAGTGCACTACACAAAGGACACCATTGATTCATTTGGATTGTTATTTGATTAAAAACCAATTATGGAAAAAATTAAAGTTAATTTTAATTTCTTTTTAATCATTTTGATATCTAGAATATTAAGCAGTAGATACAATTAGCTGTATTTCATCATATTTGGTTTGTGATATAAGGTACATGTAGTGAGAAGTTAAACATCATACCTAGGTCAGTTTTATAACAGAGACAGTATAGTAGTTAATCGTCATTAGAGAAATCTGGAATCTGATAGCAACACGACGGATGCCCTTCCGGAGCAACTGGAATCACCCCCAGTTTTGGGGTTCGTGTTGCTCAGTCTTTAGTTTTTCTATATTTTGTTTTGTATACAATTGTTTGTCTGTTTGTCTTTTTCCTATTTAGCCATGGCGTTGTTAGGTTATTTTCGACTTATGAGTTTGAATGTCCCTCTGGTATTTTTCTCCTCTCTTTTAGAGATCACAAAATAAAAAAAAACATTTTATCGATTCACATCACTGAATAAAGAAAACTGCACAGACAAGTACCTGTGGCAATTTGTATATTTGTGCTGAAAATAAAAAATCGATCACCTGAACTAAATTGTGTCCTTGATAGCCCAATTGTTCAAAAATCCAAAATCCAAACATTGCCTATCAACCAATTATTTGGGAAAAGGTTAGAATTTATTCAACATTTATCGGAAGTGAAAAAAATGTTATGGGCAATATGGGCTCTCGAGGCACGGATTTGGTCAAAATTATAATATTTAAGGAGATTCTGAAATATGTAGGGACCTCCATGAGTCAAATTCAGAATATCCATAAATAAATGAGAACCTCCTGAAATATTTCAAGACCACCTTAATTCGATTTCAGTATATCCTGAAATATCTCAGTACCTCCTTGATTCGACTTCAGGTATCCTGAAAGATTTCAGGATTTCCACAATTCGATTTCAGAATATCCTTTCCCAATATTTAAAGCCATTTCCAATAAATTACATTGTAATTTCATCTCCAACAAATATGACCCAAAAATATTGCAAATGGTCATGTTAATCGGTCTTTTAATGCCACAGTGGAGGGGCTGAATGACCTTTATCGGGACGTCGGGATATGGCTTTTTTTTTGCGGAATTCGGGATTGAGCTTTTTTTTTCGCGGGAATTCTGGATTAGCACTTATCGGGACTTGGGAATTAAGTATTAATTTTTCGTGTTCCAGGAAAGATTGCTTTAAATTTTCGGGAATTCGAAGAGACACCCCGACTATCGCCCCTCACAGTAAGTAAGGACTTTGCGATTTTAGTCTATTGCAGCTCAGACGAAGGAATCATGCCGGTGTCCTAAAGCCATTTTTTTCACCGTGCCAATCTTTCTAGGAAGAAACAATGGATCAATTATTTTGGCGTTACCATAGCATCATATTATCATTACACATTCAATATCAGATGATTTATTGATATATGTACATGTATATATAAAGCACAGTCTGACGTGGTGATGACATCCTTTCTCCTCCGTGAACCCTTGGTATGTGTTACGGGACTTTCTATTGTAGGCCTAGTGGTTAACCCATGTTCTAGTTGAAGCCCACGTGAAGAATTAAGGAATTTTGTCGAGTGGTAATAGTTGTTGTTTGAAACATATGATGTGCCCGTAATTTCGAGACCGCCCGGAAATGATTGCTCATTATATGAGGGGTTCCATGATCGCTTTGGATGACATAGAATCAATTGATGTCTTGTTTGCGTGTTGCATTTGTAATTTTGTGATGTCTTCGTACCACGGCCGCAAGAGAAAGTGATTGCAAATCAGCGTAACATGACTGAATGACGCACTCCTGCAACAAAATATACATTTTGTAGGTGCTCAACATCCACATCCTAACCCTAGACCTTTTCAGTGAAAAGTAAAATAACAAAAATACAGAACTCCGAGGAAAATTCTAAACGGAAAGTCCCTAAGCAAATGGCAAATTCAAAAGCTCAAACACATCAAACGAATAGATAACAACTGTCATATTCCTGACTTGGTACAGGCATTTTCTTATGTAGAAAATGGTGGATTAAACCTGGTTTTATAGCTAGCTATAAACGATTGTCGACAAAACGAACACAATTTGTTCCAAACATTTCTTCTATGCAATTCAAGCCAAAAAAAACCAAATTATTTTAGCATTCCAGAGACCAATCATTTCTACAAGAAATACTGGAATATATGCAATATATGTGCAATTTTAATGATTATGTATTGTGGGGTAAATGCGGGCTTTTGGGGGGAGTGGCTATATATATATAGTACGCATTGCCAGCTTTCACCGGCGAAAGAGCCACATTTTCTCTGCATTTCTCTTATATTACACTGCTTTTTGTTGTCAATGGTTATCCTGGTCCGAACTCTGTCACAAACTGTTTTATCTGTATATTAATGTGTAATCATTGTCGACAGAATACAAGAGAAAGGATGCAATGGCACTAGCGGAAGACATGATTATTCGAGATTTTATTAACTGTCAGATTTTAACTCCCAAGCAGCGGTTGCGACGTTGCCACTGTTTCGGAGTTTGTGTAAGATCGTGTTTTCTGATTAAAATACCGATGCTTACAAATGTACAGAATTGACATGGCTAAGGTCAATGAAACAATTCCGATTTCGATACTTTCGACATTTTATACCAAATGATATAGTAGTCAATTATTAATGATCAATAATACATTTGATGTGCAGAAACACACATTTTCGTTATTCTGTTAATCATGTATTTTTGTAATCAGTATTTTTTTACCTTATTCTTTATTTTTACAGAATTATTTATTAATTTTAGCACTCAATTATTCTTTATTCTTTATTGTTTTTTGCCCATTTTTCTCTTTTCTTTAATCTGCTTGGCCATTATTCTCTATTCTGTAAACCCCATCCAGACCCTCATATTAGAAACCAGTTGGTATACGAAAACCGAATTAGATATATCCATACTTTCTCCAACTTAAAACATGTATGCTTGAACTGTGATACTCATACAACGAATTAACTAGTAATAAACATTTGATAATTATTATATAACATGATTTTTAGGAGCAATTATTGACAGTTTGGAAAGAAGGTGATCGTATTTGATAGTCCAATATAAACTTTTAGTGTTAATATCAACAAATATAACATACGGAAATGTGGTATTATTATCAATGACACAACCAGGGACCAAAACGACGTAGATGTGAGCAACTATAGGTCACAATACGACTTTCAACAATTGGCAAATCCGCACATAAAAAGCCTCGACATGACAAATTAAAAGGTAAGTCTATACAACGAGAAAACTAACACCATGATTTATGTAGAAAACAACAAATGAAGACAAATATGATATATAGCAACATCAAAAACGACAGAATTACATTACGGACAGGTAAATACAGAATGTGGCAGGATTAACATGTGTAATTGAGCACAACCCTTCCCCTAACATGTGACAATGGTATAACAGAACAACATAAGAACAAACTATAAATATGGATTGAATAGGGCTTGACTCATCAGATCGATACAAAACACAAAAGCAACTAACAAAAACACTCACACACAAAAGTACCGATCTGAGTGTAATCGCAGTTACTGAAAGCTAGTTTAAAGCCAAAAATCAGACAGTTAATGTCCGATGGAATTAACGAAAGACGTCAGTTTAGGAAAACTTGACGTTGAACCTGATGTAGTAGAATGTTATAGACACAGTACTCTATAGATATATCCACTGCTAGTTGTAGCTGATTTTATAGTTTTGTAACACTGTTACCATACCTCAATTATATCCTTTCATAGCTAAATCGGAACTTTATTTATTGCTTACAATCCTAGTTATATCCTCTCCAAGTTGTAGTTGATTGATTGGTTGTTGGTTGCTTGACGTCCAAATATTGTGTCAAATATTTTATGCATGTTCAGGACGAGAACAAATTAACAATAAATACAATAGATAGAGGCCGTCCGGGATGACGCTCGGGGATATTTGAACTGCCACTGGAAAATGAGGGTACATTGGATTGGGACAGAAAGTTTGCTATGCAACAGGCCACCTACGGACCACTCAAAAAGTTGTTCCAAGGGTTCTTATCGTGCACAGAGCGTGGCACTCTCTCTAAATGATACATCTGATTTAACGTCCCCATTCGGACGGGACGTGGCTGCGTTCTTGCACATCCTGCACAGCAAAACGGACGCCCCGCTTGGCAAGGGTTTTACTGCCAGTCGGGAAAAGACCTGTATTTATATGCCCTAGTCACCCTTGGGGGCAGTTGTTAACATACATTAGTTCCCGAGGATCCAGCCAATTTTAAAGGGGGGGAGGGGGTTAACACATGCACGTCATATTAATAAGGGGGTTCCAACCGTATGTCCCCATACAAAAGCATAAGTTGTCAAACAAAAGTGTAGGGTTTCTACTTCCCGGAACACCCCCATCCGCCACTGTCCTCTCTCATGTATAGTTGACCTTTATTGATAATGTTAACATACCATAGTTATATATTCTCCCAGGTGAAGTGGATTTTATTCATCTTAAAAAGGTATCAGTGCCGAGGTACTCCAAGGCTCAGTACTGGGTCCCATTATTTTTTTAACTTATATAATGAAGTTGTGGAAAATATGGTTAATCATAGTTTAGATTATTTGCAGATGTGTATTTATGATATCATTATGATTGTGTATGTGTTGTTTTGTTTGAATGGAATATATTGTAGCTTATTGTGTGGAGAGGGCTTGCACCTGTTGACCTGTTGCCTATTACAATTCAATTTATATGAAAAAAAAATATTGCTTAAACTAAACTTTATAGAAGTTATATCCTCTCCCATGACAAGTGAAAATCTTTTTTCAAGTTGTAGCTGAACTTTATAACCGCTGTAAACACACCTTTGTTTTATCCTCTTCAAGCTGAAGTTGAACTTTATAGACACTGTTAGCATACTTTTGTTATATCCTCTTCCAGCTGTAGTGGAGTTTATAGACACTGTTAACATACCTTAGTTATATCCTCTTTCAGCTGAAGTGGAACTTTAAAGACACTGTTAACATACCTTAGTTATATCCTCTCCCAGTTGAAGTGGAGCTTTATAGACACTGTTAACATACCTTAGTTATATCCTCTCCTAGCTGACGTGGAACTTTATAAACATTGTTAAAATACCTTAGTTATATCCTTTTCCAGCTGAAGTGGAACTTTCAAGACACCGTTAACATATCTTAGTTATATCCTCTACTAGCTGAAGTGGAACTTTATAAACATTGTTAACATACCTTAGTTATATCCTCTTCCAGCTGAAGTGGAACTTTATAGACACTGTTAACATACCTTTGTTATATCATCTGCCAGCTGAAGTTGAACTTTATAGACACTGTTAACATACCTAACTTATATCCTCTTCCAGGTTAAGTAGAACTTTAAAGTCACTGTTAACATACCCTAGTTATATCCTTTTCCAGTTGAGGTGGAACTTTCAAGACACTGTTAACAAACCTTAGTTATATCCTGTTCCAACTGAAGTGGAACTTTACAGACACTGTTAACATACCTTTGTTATATCCTGTTCCAGTTTAAGTAGAACTTTATAGCCTTATAAAAATACCTGTGTTATATCCTCTTCCAGCTGAAGTGGAGCTTTATAGACACTGTTAGCATACCATTGTTATATCCTATTCCAGCTGAAGTGGAACTTTATAGGCACTGTTAACAAACCTTAGTTATATCCTCTTTGGCTGAAGTGGAACTTTATAGACACTGTTAGCCTTCTATTGCTAAAGTGGAACCTTATAGACACTGTTAAAATACCTTTGTTATATCCTCACCAAGCTGAAGTGAACTTTAAAGGCACTGTTAACATACCATTGTTATATCCTTTTCCAGCTGAACTGGAACTTTATAGACACTGTTAACATACCTTTGTTATATACTCTTCCAGCTGAATTAGAACCATAAAGACACTGTGTACATACCTTTGTTATATCCTCTACTAGCTGAAGTGGAGCTTTATAGACACTGTTAACATACCTTAGTTATACCCTCTTCCACCTGAGGTGGAACTTTATAGACACTGTAAACACACCTTTGTTATATCCTCAGCAAGGTGAATTTGAACTTTATAGACACTGTTTACATACCTTTGCTATATCCTCTTCCAGTTGAAGTGGAACTTTATAGACACTGTTAGTATACATTTGTTATATCTTATTCCAGCTAAAGTGGTACTTTATAGGCACTGTTAACAAACCTGAGTTATATCCCCTTTAGCTAAAGGGAACTTTATAGACACTGTTAGCATACCATTGATGAAGTGGAACTATATAGACACTGTTAAAATACCTTTGTTATATCCTCTCCAAGCTGAAGTGAACTTTATAGGCACTGTTAACATATCATTGTTATATCCTCTCCCAGCTGAAGTGAACTTTATAGGCACTGTTAAGATATCATTGTTATATCTTCTTCGAGTTGAAGTGGAGCTTTATATATACTGTTAACATACCTTAGTTATATCCTCTTCCAGCTGAAGTGGAACTTTATAGACACTGCTAACATACCTTAGTTATATCCTCTTCCAGCTGAAGTGAACTTTATAGACGCTGTTAACATACTTTTGTTATGTCCTCTGCCAGCTGATGTGGAGCTTTATAGACACTGTTAACATCCCTTTGTTATATCCTCTTCCAGCTGAAGTGGAACTTTATAGACACTGTTAACATACCTTAGTTATATCCTCTTCCAGCTGAAGTGGAACCTTACAGACACTGTTAACATCCCTTTGTTATATCTTATTCCGGATAAAGTGGAACTTTATAAACACTGGTAACATACCTTTGTAATATCCTCTGCCAGCTGAAGTGGAACTTTATAGACACTGTTAACATCCCTTTGTTATATCTTATTCCAGCTGAAGTGGATCTTTATAAACATTGTTAACATATCTTAGTTATATTCTCTTCCAGCTGAAGTGGAACTTTATAGACACTGTTAACATACCTTTGTTATATCCTCTGCCAGCTGAAGTAGAACTTTATAGACACTGTTAACATATTTTAGTTATATCCTCTTGCAGTTGAAGTGGAACTTTATAGACATTGTTAACATATCTTAGTTATATCCTCTTCCAGTTGAAGGGAAACTTTAAAGTCACTGTTAATATACCCTAGTTATATTCTTTTCCAGCTGAAGTTGAACTTTAAAGACACTGTTAACATAATTTAGTTATATCCTCTTTCAGTTGAAGTGGAACTTTAAAGACACTGATAACAAACCTTAGTAATATCCTATTTAAACTGAAGATGAACTTTACAGACATTGTTAACATACCTTTGTTATATCCTCTACCAGCTGAAGTGGAACCTAATAGCCTTGTAAAAATACCTGTGTTATATCCTCTTCCAGCTGAAGTGGAGCTTTATAGACACTGTTCACATACCTTTGTTATATCCTATTCTAGCTGAAGTGGAACTTTATAGGCACTGTTAACAACAATTAGTTATATCCTCTTTAGCTCAAGTGGAACTTTATAGACACTGTTAAAATACCTTTGGTATATCCTCTCCAAGCTAAAGTGAACTTTAAAGGCAATGTTAACATACCATTGTTATATCCTCTCCCAGCTGAAGTGGAACTTTATAGGCACTGTTAACATACCATTGTTATATCCTCTTCGAGTTGAAGTGGAGCTTTATAGATACTGATAACATACCTTAGTTATATCCTCTTCAAACTGAAGTGGATCTTTATAGATACTGTTAACATACCTTAGTTATACCCTCTTCCAGCTGAAGTGGAACCTTAATGACACTGTGTACATACCTTTGTTATATCCTCTTCCAGCTGAAGTGGAATTTATAGACACTCTTAACATACCTTTGTTATATCCTCTTCCAGCTGATGTGGAGCTTTATAGACACTGTTAGCATACCTTTGTAATATCCTATTCCAGCTGTAGTGGAACTTTAAAGGCACTGTTAACAAACCTTAGTTATATCCTCTTTAGCTGAAGTGGAACTTTAAAGACACTGTTAGAAAACCATTGCTGAAGTGGAACTTATAGACACTGTTAAAATACCTTTGTTATATCCTCTCCAAGCTAAAGTGAACTTTATAGGCACTGTTAACATACCATTGTCATATCCTCTCCCAGCTGAAGTGAACTTTAAAGACACTGTTAACATAACTTTATAGACACTGTTAACATACCTTTGTTATATCCTCTACTAGCTGAAGTGGAACTTTATAGACACTGTTAACATACCTCTGTTATATCATCTTCCAGCTGAAGTGGAACCTTAAAGACACTGTTTACATACCTTTGTTATATCTTCTTCCAGCTGAAGTGGATTTTTATAGACACTGTAAACATACCTTTGTTATATCCTCTGCAAGCTGAAGTGGAACTTTATAGACACTCTTAACATACCTTTGTTATATCCTCTTCCAGCTGAAGTGGAGCTTTATAGACACTGTTAGCCTACCTTTGTAATATCCTATTCCAGCTGAAGTGGAACTTTAAAGGCACTGTTAACAAATCTTAGTTATATCTTTTTTAGCTGAAGTGGAACTTTATAGACACTGTTAGAATACCATTGCTGAAGTGGAACTTTATAAACTGTTAAAATACCTTTTTTATATCCTCTCCAAGCTAAAGTGAACTTGATAGGCACTGTTAACATACCATTGTTATATCCTTTTCGAGTTGAAGTGGAGCTTTATAGATACTGTTAACATACCTTAGTTATATCCTCTTCCAGCTGAGGTGGAACTTTATAGACACTGTTAGCATACCTTTGTTTAATCCTATTCCAGCTGAATTCGAACTTTACAGACACTATTAACATACCTTAGTTATATCCTATTTCAACTGAAGTGGAACTTTATAGACACTGTTAACATACCTTAGTTAAATCCTTTGCAAGCTGAATTGGAACTTTATAGACACTGTTAACCTACCTTTGTTACATTCTCTTCCAGCTGAAGTGGAACTTTATAGACACTGTTAGCATACCTTGGTTATATCCTATTCCAGCTGAAGTGGAACTTTATAGGCACTGTAAACAAACCTTAGTTATATCGTCTTTAGCTGAAGTGGAACTTTATAGACACTGTTAACCTACCTTTGTTACATTCTCTTCCAGCTGAAGTGGAGCTTTATAGACACTCTTAACATACCTTTGTTATATCCTATTCCAACTGAAGTGGAATTTAATAGACACTGTTAGCTTACCATTGCTGAAGTGTAACTTTAGAGACACTGTTAAAATACCTTTGTTTTATCCTCTCCAAGCTGAAGTGAACTTTATAGGCACTGTTAGCCTACCTTTGTAATATCCTATTCCAGCTGAAGTGGAACTTTAAAGGCACTGTTAACAAATCTTAGTTATATCTTTTTTAGCTGAAGTGGAACTTTATAGACACTGTTAGAATACCATTGCTGAAGTGGAACTTTATAAACTGTTAAAATACCTTTTTTATATCCTCTCCAAGCTAAAGTGAACTTGATAGGCACTGTTAACATACCATTGTTATATCCTTTTCGAGTTGAGTGGAGCTTTATAGATACTGTTAACATACCTTAGTTATATCCTCTTCCAGCTGAGGTGGAACTTTATAGACACTGTTAGCATACCTTTGTTTAATCCTATTCCAGCTGAATTGGAACTTTACAGACACTATTAACATACCTTAGTTATATCCTATTTCAACTGAAGTGGAACTTTATAGACACTGTTAACATACCTTAGTTAAATCCTTTGCAAGCTGAATTGGAACTTTATAGACACTTTTAACCTACCTTTGTTACATTCTCTTCCAGCTGAAGTGGAACTTTATAGACACTGTTAGCATACCTTGGTTATATCCTATTCCAGCTGAAGTGGAACTTTATAGGCACTGTAAACAAACCTTAGTTATATCGTCTTTAGCTGAAGTGGAACTTTATAGACACTGTTAACCTACCTTTGTTACATTCTCTTCCAGCTGAAGTGGAGCTTTATAGACACTGTTAACATACCTTTGTTATATCCTATTCCAACTGAAGTGGAATTTAATAGACACTGTTAGCTTACCATTGCTGAAGTGTAACTTTAGAGACACTGTTAAAATACCTTTGTTTTATCCTCTCCAAGCTGAAGTGAACTTTATAGGCACTGTTAACATACCTTTGTCATATCCTCTGCAAGGTGAAGTGGAACTTTATAGACACTGTTAACATACCTTTGTTATATCCTCTGCAAACTGAAGTGGAACTTTATAGACACTGTTTACATACCTTTGTTATATCATAATTCAGCTGAAGTGGAACTTTATAGACACTGTTAACATACCTTTGTTATATCCTCTCCAAGCTAAAGTGAACTTGATAGGCACTGTTAACATACCATTGTTATATCCTTTTCGAGTTGAGTGGAGCTTTATAGATACTGTTAACATACCTTAGTTATATCCTCTTCCAGCTGAGGTGGAACTTTATAGACACTGTTAGCATACCTTTGTTTAATCCTATTCCAGCTGAATTGGAACTTTACAGACACTATTAACATACCTTAGTTATATCCTATTTCAACTGAAGTGGAACTTTATAGACACTGTTAACATACCTTAGTTAAATCCTTTGCAAGCTGAATTGGAACTTTATAGACACTTTTAACCTACCTTTGTTACATTCTCTTCCAGCTGAAGTGGAACTTTATAGACACTGTTAGCATACCTTGGTTATATCCTATTCCAGCTGAAGTGGAACTTTATAGGCACTGTAAACAAACCTTAGTTATATCGTCTTTAGCTGAAGTGGAACTTTATAGACACTGTTAACCTACCTTTGTTACATTCTCTTCCAGCTGAAGTGGAGCTTTATAGACACTGTTAACATACCTTTGTTATATCCTATTCCAACTGAAGTGGAATTTAATAGACACTGTTAGCTTACCATTGCTGAAGTGTAACTTTAGAGACACTGTTAAAATACCTTTGTTTTATCCTCTCCAAGCTGAAGTGAACTTTATAGGCACTGTTAACATACCTTTGTCATATCCTCTGCAAGGTGAAGTGGAACTTTATAGACACTGTTAACATACCTTTGTTATATCCTCTGCAAACTGAAGTGGAACTTTATAGACACTGTTTACATACCTTTGTTATATCATAATTCAGCTGAAGTGGAACTTTATAGACACTGTTAACATACCTTTGTTATATCCTCTGCAAGGTGAAGTGGAACTTTATAGACACTGTTAACATACCTTTGTTATATCCTCTGCAAACTGAAGTGGAACTTTATAGACACTGTTTACATACCTTTGTTATATCTTCTCCAAGCTGAAGTGGAGCTTTATAGACACTGTTAGCATACATTTGTTGTATCCTATTCCAGCTGAAGTGGAACTTTATAGGCAATGTTTACAAACCTTTGTTATATCCTCTCCAAGCTGAAGTGAACTTTATAGGCACTGTTAACATACCATTGTGATAACCTCTCCCAGCTAAGGTGAACTTTATAGGCACTGTTAACATAACTTTACAGACACTGTTAACATACCTTTGTTATATCCTCTGCGAGCTGATGTGGAGCTTTATAGAATTTGTTAGCATACCTTTGTTATATCCTATTCCAGCTGAAGTGGAACTTTAAAGGCACTGTTAACAACCCTTAGGTTTGTCCCTTTTAGCTGAATTGGAATTTTATAGACACTGTTAGCATACCATTGCTTAAGTGTAACTTTAGAGACACTGTTAAAATACCTTTGTTTTATCCTCTCCAAGCTGAAGTGAACTTTATAGGCACTGTTAACATACCATTGTTATATCCTCTAGGAGTTAGAGTGGAGCTTTATAGATACTGGTAACATACCTTAGTTATACCCTCTTTCAGCTGAAGTGGAACTTTATAGACACTGTTAGCATACCTTTGTTATATTATATTTCAGCTGAAGTGGAACTTTATAGACACTGTTAACATACCTTTGTTATATCCTCTGCAAGGTGAAGTGGATCTTTATAGACACTGTTAACATACCTTTGTTATATCCTCTGCAAACTGAAGTGGAACTTTATAGACACTGTTTACATACCTTTGTTATATCTTCTCCAAGCTGAAGTGGAGCTTTATAGACACTGTTAGCATACCTTTGTTATATCCTCTCCAAGCTGAAGTTAACTTTATAGGCACTGTTAACATACCATTGTGATAACCTCTCCCAGCTAAGGTGAACTTTATAGGCACTGTTAACATAACTTTACAGACACTGTTAACATACCTTTGTTATATCATCTGCAAGCTGATGTGGAGCTTTATAGAATTTGTTAGCATACCTTTGTTATATCCTATTCCAGCTGAAGTGGAACTTTAAAGGCACTGTTAACAACCCTTAGGTTTGTCCCTTTTAGCTGAATTGGAATTTTATAGACACTGTTAGCATACCATTGCTTAAGTGTAACTTTAGAGACACTGTTAAAATACCTTTGTTATATCCTCTCCAAGCTGAAGTGAACTTTTTAGGCACTGTTAACATACCATTGTTATATCTCCCAGCTGAAGTGAACTTTATAGGCACTGTTAACATACCATTGTTATATCCTCTTTGAGTTGAAGTAGAGCTTAACAGATACTGTTAACATACCTAAGTTATATCCTCTTCCAGCTGAAGTTGAACTTTATAGACACTGTTAACATACCTTAGTTATATCCTCTTCCAGCTGAAGTGAAACCTTATAGACACTGTTAACATACCTAAGTTATACCCTCTTCCAGCTGAGGTGGAACTTTATAGACACTGTTAGCATACCTTTGTTATATCCTCTGCAATTGAAAGTGGAACTTTAAGACACTGTTAAGATACCTTTGTTATATCCGCTGCAAGCTGAAGTGGAACTTTATAGACACTGTTAACATACCTTTGTTATATCCTCTTCCAGATGAAGTGGAGATTTATAGACACTGTTAGCATACCTTTGTTACTAGTATATCCTATTCCAGCTGAAGTGGAACTTTATAGGCAGTGTTAACAAACCTTAGTTATAGCCTCTTTAGCTGAAGTGGAACTTTATAGACACTGTTAGCATACCATTGCTGAAGTGGAACTTTATAGACACTGTTAAAATACCTTTGTTATTTCCTCTCCAAGCTGAAGTGAACTTTATAGGCACTGTTAACATACGATTGTTATATCCTCTCCCAGCTGCAGTGAGTTTTATAGGCACTGTTAACATACCATTGTTATATCCTCTTTGAGTTGAAGTGGAGCTCTATAGATACTGTTAACATACCTTAGTTAAATCCTATTCCAGCTGAAGTAGAACTTTATAGACACTGTTAACATACCTTTGTTATATCCTCTGCAAGGTGAAGTGGAACTTTATAGACACAGTTAACATACCTTTGTTATATCCTCTGCAAGCTGAGGTGGAACTTTATAGACACTGTTAGCATACCTTTGTTATATTATATTTCAGCTGAAGTGGAACTTAATAGACACTGTTAACATACCTTTGTTATATCCTCTTCCATCTGAAATGGAACTTTATAGACACTGTTAACATACCTTTGGTATATCCTCTTCCAGCTGAAGTGGAACTTTATAGACACTGTTAACATACCTTTGTTATATCCTCTGCAAGCTGAGGTGGAACTTTATAGACACTGTTAGCATACCTTTGTTATATTATATTTCAGCTGAAGTGGAACTTTATAGACACTGTTAACATACCTTTGTTATACCCTCTTCCACCTGAAGTGGAACTTTATAGACACTGTTAGCCTACCTTTGTAATATTCTCTGCCAGCTGAGGTGAACTTTATAGGCACTGTTAACATAACTTTACAGACACTGTTAACATACCTTTGTTATATCCTCTGCAATGTGAAGTGGAACTTTATAGACACTGTTAACATACCTTTGTTATATCCTCTGCAAGGTGAAGTGGAACTTTATATACACTGTTAACATACTTTTGTTGTATCCTCTGCAAGGTGAAGTGGAACTTTATAGAGACTGTTAACATGCCTTTGTTATATCCTCTGCAAGCTGAAGTGGAATTTTATAGACACTGTTAACATACCTTTGTTATGTCCTCTTCAAGCTGAAGTGTAACATCACCAGAAGAACAATTATTTAGTTCTTGGCAATGAACTGGTTTATCGTAGTCAAACCGATACTCCATAAGCTGATAAGAACTTACTCCATCATATATCTCAGTACGATAAAGTTGGTCATTGTCTGTATTGACAAGTTCTCTGTACCCGCCTGTAGTAACCGTGTAGTTCAGAACGTATCTGCAACAAATTCAATCTCTGACACAATAGAAAAATAATTATGTTAATATATAGACAGCTTATTGATCAGCTTAAATTTATCACTGCATAGCTTTGACTCGTTGATTATCCCATTTCGACATTTGAGTTACGACATGGAAACAAACTTTTGTCACAGGATCTGAGGGATCATAACGATAACAAGCAACAGTTACCATTATGAACTTTAAGTGAACAAGGAACCTCATACCATAAGATGTAGGGTTTCTATAACTTATTGCAAAGAATCAACGCTTGTATATCACTTATATCATATTAGAAAGAAAAAAAAAAGAATCTATGTTGTCCCCTGATCATTTCGATCTAATTTGACTGCCAAAATCTGAAAATGAAACCAACATTTGAAAATAAAGTCGATATTTGTAACGGTGTCGAATGAGCATTGATAACCAATATACCAAATATCCTATCGACTACTTACGAAACAAAAAAAAAGCACAAGAAGAAATGGCGCATACGGTAATTTATACCCCAGGAATAGATAACCTGTATTTGGCAAAACCTTTCGAAATTTTGGGTCCTCAATTCTCTTCAACTTCGTACTTTATTTGGCCTTCTAATTTTTTGATTTGAGCGTCACTGTTGAGTCTTTTGTAGACGAGACGCGCGTTTGGCATACGCCATTTTAATCTTGGTATCTATTATGAGATTACTGGAAAGACAAAATAACTTAAAACTTTCTAAGAGATCTCGCTGTTATTGGAGATTAATTTTCTACTAGCTATATGGAGTTATCCATAAAATATATTATCAACCTAAGATTGTATTTACGAACAGCTTCGATCTTCTTGTTTTCAATACTTTCCAATAGTTTAATAGAAGCATAAAGCACTTAACAAAACCGAAAGAGCTCTAACAATTGTATTGCAGACTTAGTATAGTGTTGCAAAGTGAGGACGCAATATATACCTTAAGTCTGTGTCGATAATTGAATATATTGTCATTTACCTGTCGCCCGAATCGACCTGAAATACATTGGTACCATTGTTCATCCTACATTCCAGAACTTTATTAGCTATTGGGTTGTGATCAGAAGGCTGTGAGCAAGTAAACCTTTCCTTGTTAACTTCGTACTCGCCACCTGTATAAATGTAATAAGCTTCATAATTACTTCAAATAAAGAAAAATGGCCAATTTATTCATTTGTTTATTTGTTTGATCTTTCAAAATTTGATTTTTCTACATATAAAATTTCGTTCACATACAAAGTCATTAGCTCTAATTAAATATATTCAATTTGATGAAATAGGATAAATGTTCCACTCACTTTGTCCAAGTCTATAATGAATGACCAACACGTTCGCGTCAACAATTCCAAATTTCATATTCCTTATGTATCTTGGCACAGGTGGAATATGATCAAAATTATATAGGACATCTATGGAGGCATCAATGTCGAAGTTCATTACGTTAAACTCGTCAGAATTTGTCCAGACCAAGTCAACCTCAGATCTGTTTGTTGCGTCTGTCATAAATTGGTATTCAAAAGTATTTCTTGTATAACTGTACTTTGCAAAAGTCGCATTGCCTTTTTCTATTAAAGGTTTGAACTCTCTTGTCTGTGTCTGTACTGAAAAATAAGATTCACACATGTTTAAGCAGTTTCAAAAACACATAAACTTTAAATTTAATTCTGTAAAATCAGAAACATGTAGTGCTAGATATTTTTGATGTACTGTTTTCACATTTTGTATTATGTTGAATAAAAGTCAAATTGATTATATAAGATCTGCAGCTCGATTAATCGAACGATTGGTCGATCGACAGAGAGTGATCATAAAATATAATTCTTACAAGTTTTGCAAGTACTTCCTTCGAACCCTTCTGAGCACAAACATTGGTTGCTTCCATAACAACGTCCAGGGTAACAAGGGGACAAGTGTGAACAAGCGGCAACTGAAAACAAAGATTTATATATATGTCAACAAACAATACTTAAGTAAGTTAACATGGATCAGATTAGTTACAAAACTAAAAAAAAAAACGTTTGAATTGATAAATTCCTAATTTGACAAGATCCTGTTTTCCTGTACTGTTTATGACGTTACTGTATGCAATCTTCTTTGAAGTACAGCCGCCGATGCTAGTGTGCAAATTTCTAATCAATGAATTAAGCCCTTTAAATTGTGAAGTGTATGCAGTGTATATGGTTACTTTTTCTTATAAGGGTCCGGAATTCAATCTCCAAAATCTCCAGTTAAGCATTGTTTCATAAACTGGGGTATATAAACGTATATAATGCGAAAGAAAAGGATTTATCAAAAAAACAATTAAATGTCAATGATGAGTTCTGCAATAATAGAAATACGATGGAATGTCTAACAAAAATATTGTGTATTTGATACTATGTATTCATTTGATAGGTAGAGGTCAAATGTTTTTGTTATTGTCCAATAGCTGGATTAAATTACTTCTTTTTGTATGACATTCTGACAGCTAGTACATATGGCGGATTTGAATCACGATAGTGACGATATCTTGTTGATAGCTACGCACTTCAGCGTCCTCATCGCACCTCCTAGTCCTACATATATATCTTTGTAAACGTTTTATACTTATTATTTAATACCTATAACATTCCATAAATAGTCCTTGTATTTATAAATTTAATTTAAATAAAAATGTTAAAGATCAAACTAAATCAAATCATCAATATATTTGACTTGGGACAGACATTTTTCGAAGAAACTGATAGGTTTAGCCTGGTCTTATAGCTAGCTTAACATCCTACTTGTATGACAAATTCCGTTATATTAACAAAAAGCATTGTCAAAAGATATGTTTTTATACTAATGTGAGTAATTCGGACCTTTAACTTCCAAATACATATTTCTGACTAAGAATAAAGCAATAGTAGTTTATCGATGGTCAAATAAAAAAATTGATTAAGAAGACAAATCAAAGTAACAAACATAAACTCAGGAAATTGCATAGACTCCAAAAGACGGGAGACCAGGTGCGTCGACAAGATGCTATGCATATACCACCCGCCATATGAGTCCACACCGAGTCAAAAATTACAATCAGGAATAGAACACGATCGGTAAAAGTACATACTTAGTATAGGAAAACTATTCTGGTATCAGTATTTCACATCTGATGATAATTTGCTAACACATAGTTGGACAAAATTTCGTAGATGTAGCGTATACAGAACATTGGTTAATCAACTGTGACTGTGACGAGGTAGCTTATTATTTTAGTTTGCATAAAAATGGGAATGGGTCAACATTTAATTTAGTCTTTGGTAGAGAGTGGTCTCATTGACAATGATAAAAATCTTCTTATTTTTATATTACAATAGATTTTTGACACAACTTTTTATAAAAACGTGCAAACGGTTCAAAAGATAAATATTTATCCTGATTTAACCCCTAAATCATTCAGAGTCTATTATATTCATCATCACGCACAGTAAACCAAAGCTATCAATCAACCAAAATAATATGTATACAGACTTACATTGAGATGAAATATTAACTTATGTTTCACAACGGTTTAAATCATAGACCATTTGTTTTGTTTTCGTTTAAAATTGATCAATATATTGCAATACATAAAGAAAATTCGACATGTAGGAAGTCTATATATTGCAATATATAGTTAAGGTACCTATTCTTTTCCATTTTTTGCGTGACAAGTGTTTTTAAAATCAAAGCATTACGTTTAGATATGAATTAAAAAAGTAAATTTCATTTCAAACGTTACAAGAAAGAAAAAAAACCTCGAATGAATGTAATAATTTCTTAAGTCATGTTTTTATCTTTGGCTAAAGTAAAAAAATCGAAATGAACGAACAAATGCTGCAAAATGAATTTAAAACAATTGCTTGTTGCTTGAGTTAGTCTTTTACGATAAGGCCCATTCATTTCAGCCTAAAATTTGTGTTTTCATGATTTTCAAGATTGCGTTTCCATTTTGAAAAAGAAACAGGAAATGAATTGAAATTCAGTATTTAAAAGCTTCAAACACAATTAGTTATCTGGAAAAAAAATGTGAAGATTATTTGTCATCGTAACTGTGAGGAATTATAATTTTCATAGTAAAGTGGCAAATTACTGTTATATAGTTTAGAACGGAAATGTGGAGTTTATCAAAGAGACAACAACCCAATCTAAGAGCAGAATACAGCCCAAGGCCACCAATAGGTCTTCAAAGCAGTGAGAGAATCCTGCACCCGAAGGCGGGCTTCAGCTGTCCCCTAAACAGTAATGTATACTAGTTCAGCGAAATGGACGCCACACTTTAAAAATAAACACAAGATTAACAAAGGCTAGAGGTTCAAGACTTGGGACAGGCGCATAAATGCGGCGGGTTTCAACATGTTTTATGAGATCTCAACCCTTCCTTATACCCCTAGTCTATGTGAAATAAACAAAAACACAACAATGCGCACAGTAAAATTCAGTTTTAAAAGAGTTTCTATTAGAATAAGTTCGAGTCCATTGTTAGAATAGGTAACATAAGAAACGAAGCAAAATGACAATGATCAACATAAATTAACAAAGGACTACTATCAGGTACTAACATGCCAGCTCCAGACCTTAATTAAACTGATCGAAAGATTATGTCTTCATCATATGAAAATCAAAGGGTTTAGTATCATGCCATCATAAATTATACGAGAAGAACATAATCCATATCATACCTGGTATCAACTGGTTTTAGAATAAATGCGTCAATTTCCGATGCAAAGACCCTAAGATAATAATTCCAAAACAAATGCAATCTTTAATGACAGAATTGTAACTATATCTCTTTTGAATAAGTCTGTTTAAGGGTTTGGTAAGCTTTTGAAGTTAATGACGACATTGTTGTGCTTTGTACAGAATATTGCCATAAAAGATAGGGCGTGAAATACCTGAACGTATAAGATGTCTGCAAGTTGACTAATATTTTTACAAATGATGTCATTGTATCGATGATAAGATTTAGTAAAAGTTTGTGATATCGAAAACCCTGGTGTCATATTATTTTAGTAATACAGTTTAAAGTTGAGATATATAAACACCATAAGATGGTGCCAATGGAACGTCACCATCCAAAAAGGATAATTAGCAATGTGAAATAATCTCTCTAATAACACTTCTAGTTAATATTATTAATACGGGTACTTCATACATGTATATGTATATAATAGGACATGATATTTAGATAAAGTAGAATATTTTCCAATGTTGGTCACTTCTAGCCAAAAGTCACACTAGACGCCAGTGAACTATGCAGACGATTAATTGTACAATCCGTTAAACAGGCCATAGTCCTAGAAGTACAGAAAATCGTATGTGCTTTGCAGTAGTATACTTTTTAAAAAAATCGCCGCTTTAATGGATAATAGACTATTAACATTTTTGGGAAATTTTCATCAGTTTTAACGCCTAATAAATCAAACCCCAGATGTCGCAAATTGAAGGAATATTATCAGGCAACTATACGTTCCAGCGAAAAGAGAATGAAAACCAATTCAGACAGGAAGTCGAAGTGACCAATAATGACCGATCAGGCTGAAGTAAAGTTAGACGGACCAGATTTATCGGTAGAACAATCCATCAAGCCAGAGAAAAGATAGTTAAAGGTATAAATGTTGCAGACAAACAAAATCTAACAAAACTTGCCGATCCATCTGAGCAAGGGTAAACAGTAGTTAAAGAGTAGATTTTTAGTCCTATTGCTGACGATTCAGAAGACGAAAAGAGGATAATGAGAGCGCAAAACAGAATTGAACTCAAGATCAAATCCAAGAAATTGAAAAAGTCAAAGATAAACAGAAAGGTGCCATATTCCATTAAAGATAAAGTTCAGCCTACATGGAGAATAGGGAGATGTTTTAATTATGGTGAAAAAGGTTACTGACCGGAGGAAAGGAAAGTAAAGAAAATCACATTATAGAATGTACTGAATTAAAATTAGATGTCATTGTTGGTCAATTTTAACTAGAAGGTGAAGAACCTGTTTCGTCAGAAGGTAAACTAAGATCAAATCTGCCTCTATTTAGAGCTTTTACAACTTCTAAAAACGTTATTGATGTTATTGAAAATAATTGGTATTATTATATTCAAATTAAACAATTTTATTGCACCTTTACTGTTAAAAAATTACTAATCTTCAGCTTCAATTAAGTATCCCTATATATTAGTTATTGAATATCTAGGGCAACTATTCAATAGTATCTATAAAGTTAGATACATTTACACATTAGAGCAGTTTTACATTATAATAACCGGAATATTGTACTTTCTTCCCCTATATTGTATATAATGTTATCAAAGCTTCGCTGAACCGCAAAATTGATGATGATCTTTTGGTAGTATGACTCTTTAGGAGTTTATTTTTGCCGACGGTAGCTAGTTTTGAACTTTTTTTGAACTTTTTTTCAAAATATTTCGTATTCAATGTTTTTCCCTCTTGGTATTTCAACTGTAGGTTAACTATTTACAAAAGTACTGAAATACTTTGAGTAGTTAATCATTTGAGATCAGAAGGCAAGAGAGTCATTATATTTCTTGATGACGGTTTTGCTGGGATAGTAATTATGAAAAATACACTGAGAGCAGCCTAGTTTTCAAAAGAATAGTAAGGAATTTTTTTATCACATATACAAACGTTGTGTTGGTCAGCTATGCAGAAATATGGGATAAAAAACATTGGTAAAATATTAGATTAATATTGTATTATGAAAACTGAGAAAAATGTTGAATTTTTAACAGAAAAGAGTAGGTCAATTGAAATCTATGCAGATAGTCATTGGTGACTTAGCCAGATTAAATACCAGATTTGTATAGTTGTATCATGCATATGAGTAGGGAAAGTTGGGATGCACCAGTAAAGATTTGTAAAAAAGCCCTTAATGAGATAAACGTTAAGTCTATTTTGGTGTTCAGTGTTTATGTTGTTCCGTTGTTTTCCTCTTAAAGTTGATGTGTTTTCCTCGGTTTTGGTTTGTGACCCGGATTTGTTTTTGTTAAATCGATTTATGACTATTGAACAGCGGTATACTTCTATTGCCTTTATTTACTGCAAAACGTCAATAATATAGGTGTCAACTTTTAAAAGGTCGATTATCATGACATTTATTTTACTCAAGACATGATTTGTGACGCCTCAGATGTAAGTTTTTTTATTGTTGTTTAACCGCACATTTTGCAAATGTCCAGTATATGGACAGAACGGGAAAGGTACGAAATTTTCACATTGCGCGAATTAGAATGCATCAACTGGTTTGTACAATTTTTTATAATACATATAGCGACAGAACTATTAAAATTAATACTGATAATCACACATACTCAAAGTAGGTAGTAGAAAACAAAAATTACAAAATATAGCCATTTAGATTCAATAGCAATATATACATAATTACACAAGGGGTTCGGAGAAACGACATATCACACACAAACATTCTCAGTAGAAACAATGATCATAATGATTGCGCTATTCATGCCAATATATTTGATGAAATTAGTAGCCCACTGTAACAGATTCTGGTTTGTTTTGCCTTTTATATCTCCTATGGCAAAAACGCGAAACGAGTATTGATTTTCGTTCGCGTTTTCCAGTATTTGTTCTCATCTTTCTGCGATTTAAATCAACAAGAATGTTATTATTAATTGAATCGTTTAGCTCATGTGCTCATTTCATAGAATACACTGTGGAATCTATAACATATCGATTGAAAGCCGGAAATTAAAAGGTACTTAGTATTCCCGGCCATAGGAAATATAAAAGGCAAAACAAACCAGAATTGCACTTTTCGGAATTCTTAATAAATATGTCGAAATAAAGTTGTTTAGACATCGACAAAGGTAACACCATCTGGGATAGGACAAGCGCCTTGGAACGATCGACAAACTGGGCTTTTAAAAAATTTAGATTCTCTACGAGTCTTTCAAAGTCACATTGATATCGATATAAACAAATAAAACCAAAACATACTGTATCAATGATATCGCAAATACTGAAAGTTAAAAGAAGCACTAAGTAGCTAATATGTTGATATAAAATCATACGGTTCTACATATTAATGTTGTCGACTGTTCCTAGGAGAAGAGTTCATACATCAACCTCACAAACACTTTTGGAATAATCTTGTCTATTGCCAAGTGGAAATTTGTAAAATAGTTTGTATGCACACAAAACCCAATTTAAAACTCGTTGAAATGTATAAGATAAAGTTGTGTGTGTTTAAACTTACTTCCAGCACATATGTCTCCTGCATACCCAGCAGTACATTCACATTCGTTAGGATTGACACATTGCCCAGAGTTTTGACACTGTGGAGAACATTTGGCTGTAAATAGACAAAATACAGAAACAAATATGCTTTGTTTTTATTTCGTTCCGACCTGTAAACCTTAAACGAAAAACGGAAAAAGTGGACAGCGAGAAGCAAAGTTCTCAAAAATTAAAACAGCAGATCGGGAATGCACATTTTCAAATTTCAGCCAAAAATGATTTGATTGATAATGGTTTAATTACATTCGCAACAAGTTTTCGTTTACTATACATAGTGCATCAATACACGACTATACACTTGACAGACTTGCCAAATCGTGTTACCTTATCATACTTATCTAAGATTAGGCCATAAATGTAACAAAAAACCAGTTGATGGTTCGAAAGTGTAATCATAATATGCTCTTCAAATAATCGCCATTATAAATTGCAGAAAAAACCACCCATAATTTTTGAACAGGTATTTATGAGATATGGAATATTTTGTGAGCATAATATATGCTCTTTCATATCTCGTACAAAGTTATATCTTTAACACGAGGACCATCAAATATTGTCGTATTATATGAATAGCAGTCATATAGCCATCGAATTAACCAATTTGTTTTTAAATCAAACATTCAGCGCACCCTCAAACCATTAAAATGTATTTTGACGCTGAACTTCATGGTCAGAGATTGCGGGACCTTAAAAAACACCATCCTTTAATAACAAAACATAGTTACGTATAATGCAGTTTTGGTCTCCATTATGTCTCCATCCTGGACAGCAGTAGTTCTCTGTGTAATAGTATGTTCGTCCAACGCTTCCCCAGTGAGTGCACCTGTCATATAGGATATGATATCTTGCAATCAACTATTATACCATACTATTAACAATGTACATATAAATTTATACACTATTCTTCATTAACCTCACACAAAAAATATCGTCGCTTGTATACACTCGAACTCAGGGGTTAAATAAGATAAACGGTACCAATAAAGCACTAGATGACGCATTTTGACAATTAACGTCTCTTCAATGATGATTTTTTATCTTATGTAATAGATTTGTTTTAAAGACACTGACATTAGGGAATAACAATACATTTATTGAACTCTTTGGATTCCCAGTTTAGGTAATAATATTTCTGTGATAAAAAAAAACAGATAATTAATGTACAAAAAGTTAATATTTTAATGGCATTATTTTAATGCTGGTTTAAAACTTTAAGAATACATTTAAGGAAAATTAAAAGAATAGTACTAGGGCTACTTATTATGTGAATAAGAAGTCCCAGTAGTTTACTGATATTATCTATGAACGAAGAGCTAGGTTTGTTGTTATCTTATTTATGAATTAAAGCCCACGTAAATAAGTTCATATCTTCTGACAACCTACGTATTTAAAATGATGCCACCTTTATTAGTTGTATTGTGTTTCAATTTGTATTAATAAGGATCTTAAATAAGTCAGTTAAAAAATCAGATCCAATTAATAAAAAAAAACAAAACAAAAAAGCAAACAAAATAAAACAAAACAAAACAAAGGACCACGAGAAAAGTCTGATAGTGATGTTTTTTGTAATAATATTTTCCTGAGGTCCATCGTGTCTGTAATTTCGATTTTTGGTTCAGGTTTTCATTTCATTTTCATGAAACCTTTTCTGTTTTGCATACCTGTACGATAGAGATGAATAACTTAGAATATGCCATAAACACTTATCAATTGTTTAATACGGGTATCTCGCCAAAATAATTGTAGATGTCTTTTCTGGTTTTATTGTAATATTAAGTTACTGTTTCACGCATCCCTCCACTTGTTTTTTTTTAATTTCATATCAGATATAAAGAAATATAGGTTTTCATTTAATTTTCATGAAACCTTTTCTGTTTTGCATGTATCCCAATATTTGTGCGTCTGTTAAAATAGTATATACCTGTACGATAGAGATGAATAACTTAGAATATGCCATAAACACCTATCAATTGTTTAATACGGGTATCTCGCCAAAATAATTATAGATGTCTTTTCTGGTTTTAGTAATATTAAGTTACTGTTTCACGCATCCCTCCACTTGTTTTTTTTTTAATTTCATATCAGATATAAAGAAATATTCACGAAAAGAAAACACTGTTCCCCTTTTTGTTTAAAACATTGTACTTTAATTGAAAAGATGCACTTACGACGACCACCACCAACATCTACAGTATCTGTTATATCGGAAGTAACTTGCAAGCCGCGTACAATAGTGTCTGTAAAATATATAACAATAAACCCAATTATATATAACTACCAAACTGACAAACTTAATTATCTTATGCGCTAATACACTAAATAGTTAATGCATTAGAGCTTAAATAAAATAACAAACCGTAAAATTTTATAGATACTGAGTCGTCTAGAATTGAAGTGTATGCACAAGGATACTGTTATTAAGTGTAAGTATATATACAATAACATAAACGGTATCCATTTTATTGAACCAAATGCTCATGTCGACAATTAATGTCTTTTCAATGATGCTCGATGGCAATATTTGATACTATAAAACTTAATGCAAACGTTGTAGACTTGAGTTATCTAATTATAAGATCTATCAAAGATCTTAATTTTGAATTTCATATTATGTACAAGCATTTAAGAATTTCTTGTGGAGCGGGGGTACATAAAGAGATTTCATATGAATCAGATGGATAAAATTTAGTTAAAGAAAACAAGACAAAAGTTTGGACAAACGGAGCGAACGAACCGCCAAAAACCGCTGTAACCGTCGCTTTGGACCGCTTTAAACTTTCAGTGAGGTAAGCGTTTCTGTTCAATGTTGCAGCCTTGCTTTAACATTGAGATACAAACAACGTTCCCTCTGTTTTCGTTTATTTCAAATTCTTTTGGTGACTTGTGTATAAGTAATTGATACACCATATCCTTTCTTTTCCATTAAACAAACAAAAGTAAACACTCCATAAAATCCATAAAGAATATGCATTACGATTCTACCAATATACTGGGAAAAACTCAGGATTTCTGGAAGTGTAATCAGTTCCTATCTCATTTTTGGTACACGTGATGCTGCTCATGGCAAGTAATAATCAGGTGATAAGCTGGTTGTGTTACAATCATTTAAATGTGATAATGTGCTTTTCCATATCGGTTTTGGTATTATTACTCGACCCATGGTGGCCATCAGTTTGCGCCTCAGGCAGATATGGAAGTCTCGGTAGACACCACGGTCAATATGGAAAATGATATGTTAAAATCTGTAATGATCACTTAATTCTTTCAAAACGTGCGATTTGGAACGGATTTATCTTCATCATGAATGCTTAAGTTCGAATATTTGAAAGCACATGATGTATAAGAACCGAAACAGTTGAAGAGCTATATGACCAAAAAGAACTTCAAATAATAGCCAATACATCTAGTGTAATATTTGTCTGATGGAGTTTAACCTTAGTTTCTTTATAATTTATAACTTTATAAACGAACAATTTAAAAAAAAAGGTTAGTTATAAACCATGTCAGGACCGAAGTACTGACATCTGAGCTGATGATACATTCAAGGACTGATAGTCCTCCAGCAGCGGTATCGACCTAGTGCTATAAAAAATGTAAAGCAGAATAAATAACAGCCATTGATAATTAAGAACCAAAACAGATGGAGAGCTATATCACCAAAATGGAACTAAAATAATAGCCAAATCTGAAAAGAATGAAAGTTCAATTAAGAGTATTGTAAATATTCCTAGACATCAATTGATTCGGAAAGGTAATTACATCGAGACTTCAAATTTTTCAACAAACATGTTATACAAATCAATTTGTAAAGATAAAACTGAACCCTCAATTGGTGTTAGCAAATGGATGCGTAGAAGAAGATTATAACCACTTTTTTATTTCTTGTCGATTTGTAGAAATTTTTTGGAAAAGTATTCATGAGTTAATTAGAAATCTATTTTAGATTTCAGCTCATCGTTAAAGCAACTAGTCTTTAGATATAAGATTTTTGACAAAAATTATTTTGGTCTGAATTATTTCCTAATAATTTTAGGTTTTTCTATATACAAATCATATGATATATCTAATCAGAAATTGACATCTGTAAATGTTTATCAAATTTTTGTTCAAAAATATATAAAAAGATATAACGAGAACAGAATAATAAAATTAAATCCATTACTGAAGTCACTAAAAAGAAGTTTACATAGTTGAATAGATAAAAACATAAAACTTTTTGTACAATTGTATTTCAAGAGTTTTACATTTGTCATTTCTGGGCCTTTTATAGCTAACTATTCGGTATAGGTATTTTCTCGCTGTGTTGAAGATCTATTGATGGCCTTGGGCTCTTTTCTGCTCTTTGGTCGGGTTGTTGTCTCCTTGACACATTCCCCGTTTCCATTCTCAATTTTATTTGCTCATTGTTGAAGGCAAAACAAAACAACACTTTAATAATTTTTTGTATCCGAAGCGCTTTTCTGGATTAACCTTATGTTTACGTTTAAATTTGTCTTAACCAAAGGCCCGAAATAACGGGAGCCTATATCAATAATTTGGAAGACCAAGTTTGAAATATTAATGGACTCAGTCGAGGATTGTTTTAGGCAATGTTCTAATCGCGAAAAAGGAGACGTGGATAATCTTTCCGAATCGGTTAAGGCTGTGAGGTCGATGATACAAATTAGAATAAACAATGAACATGTCTATGATGTTACATATATTTTCAAATACTTAAACGTTGATAAGCACTTTTCCTACCATTATGACAAATGTGGTGTTGTTCCCGCAGATAAAGCCTCTAATAATATTTTTAATTGTTAGTAATAACATTAAACAAACTGCATGATAACAGAAATATGTATTGACAAATTACTTGGAAACTCAACATATATCCCCACGACACTTACCAGGGAGGAAATCCTGGATAATCATAGTTCTATGCTATGTTCCTTTGGAATTTCAACTAAAGATGAAGAACTGGATCTTCCTTCACTGTATTGGATACCTAAATTACATAATAGTCCTTCAAACAACTTTATAGTCCCGAGTCTTCCAAGTGCTCCGTGAAACCTCTTTGCAC